ATTTTTATTTTATTTAATATTTTTATTTTATTTAATATTTTTATTTTATTTAATATTTTTATTTTATTTAATATTTTATTTTATTTAATATTTTATTTTATTTAATATTTTTATTTTATTAAGCAATAAGGGCACACCCTCTCTAAATGCACGCTCAAATTTCAGCCCAAGTACATACATGACCATTATAAATGCACTTTTCTTATAGTTTTCTAAGTGCACGTTGATAAAGCTTCGTTCCAAGAGTGTGCATTTATGGAGGTTTCACTGTAATAATAAAGTTTAAAATAGCAATTACTATTTGTACTCTAGTTTATCAAACATAGATACTTATAATACTTAAAATTTTGTATATAAAGCTACTTTTAGGATTCTAACAAAAAGAACTTCTTGCAAGGGTTTAATGCATATAATTATCTTTTACCCTAATCTGACCCAACTTTAATTTAATATTATATATCGACAAATTATATCCGTATTTCATACACTAAAGTAAATTAAAAAATTTTCGTAAAAAAAAATCATTATAATTAATAAAATGCAACTAGCATTTGAAATCAGGCAGATGGTATAAATTGATACGTATAAGGAAATACCTTATTATGTTTTTGCTTAGTTTATGAGTGGTTTCTAACGATAATCTTGATGTTTAACGCTAAATTTTCTATCATTCAATTATTGATGTTATTGGGCTTCTATGCAAACTATTATGTACTAAAAAAAAACACTTATTTTTTTGTGCAGGTGAAATTCTATCAAAAAGATAACAAGCAGACGTTTAAATGCAATCATACCTTCTTGAATGCAGCTCGTAGAGAAAACTTTTAACGTGCATTTTAGAGAATAATACGTAAGACAAAAATGCACTTAGAGGGGTCATGCATATATTTGAGTCAAAATTTAATGTTGTATTTAGGGGATTTGACTGTATTTTAATTATGCGATTTAATATATTAGGTTTAATTGTCTTGATTATATCAAACCGTTTTGGTATAAATAATGAACAACTACAATCTGACCTTCCTAAATGCAGTTCATAGGAATTAAACTTTTTTTATAATGTGCATTTCGATAATGATAAGGAAAAAAAATCATTTAAGGAATCAAGCATATACATTCAGACCAGGGCTAAAACGACATATAGTAAATGTTGGCCGTTTAATAAATGTCATTCTTGATTCACATTATACTAAAATTTTATTGGCCCAAAAAACAATTTAATACAGTATTATATGCACACAATTTAAGTACTACATTAATAAAAAAAATAGATTAGTTAAGTACGTACGTACCTTACGTACATACTACTATACTAATAATTTTGGATGTATCAAAAACTATACTTCAAACAATGGGCAGTGGCGCAGTAAGTGGCCACCGTATACTATATATCGTTTCAGACTCCCTAGATGCAACCCTCTAAATAGCCTCAATATCCCGTATTTTCGCGTAATAACGCCCATTGGCGTTATTTTGAAAATTGTACAACCTACAAATATCATGCATGCCTTCGAATTGGCGCCAATGCGCGTCCTAAAATAACGCGCATGTTTGGATCAATGCAAATTAGCCAATCAAATAAATGTCCTATGTCAGACAGTCAGCTTTATTTCATGATGATGCACATGCGTGTACTCAAAATAACGCACGTATTCTCAAAATAACATGCAGGTGGCGTTATTACGGCACGCTTAACCCTCTAAATGCTTTTTTTTTTATTGTTTACATGCATGTCGTCGAAAGTCTTATCCTAACGAGCTGTATCTAGGAGGTCTGGCTGTATTTTTGGTCAGAGTTTAGCTGCATTTAGGGGATATAATTGTATTTCTTATTAGCTATTGTATAACATATGTTGTAAGTGGGAACAAAACATAAACAGGTTCGGAATCTACTTAGATTGGAAAAGAATCAACTATACTAACCTTAAAAATTCCGAATCACTTAAATTTCGACATATATCTATGTGGCATGCCCGGCCACAATAAGAGCAAATATCTTTTGGGAAATATTCTGCATAGAAACTGGTGGGTTTTACTTAATATAGAGATCATAGGTAGAACAATAAACCTTTCCGACAAGTATTCTTTCAAGAATCTTTGGTGTGACATGTAACCTTTCTAAATATTTTCCGAAGCTTTTTAAATTACATATAAAAATATTTGGAAAAATTGCATATTACACCAAAGATTTTTGAAAGAATACTTGGAAAAAAAATTGATTGTTCTGCCTGTGAGACGATATCATTTTCACTTTTACATGTGAAATGTTACATTCTTAAAATATTTTAGATTATATAAATATTTACAATTGTAAGTGATGGACCAATCAGAAACAAAGTTGGCCTATATATTCTAACCTAGAGTTTGTAACTGTTTTATTTTTTATTCGTATATAAAAATAAACCGATTTCAAGCTCTACTCTAACCCTAGTTAAGATATCATATGAGTGCCGGCAAGGAAATTTATTAATCAATGATGACAGTTTACTAGTTATTTTGGTATCATGTATCTTGATTATATAATTAATCAATCATACTGACATTTTATTTTTTTTTATACTAGGAGACTGAATCAGAGTACAAAATTTTATTGTAAATATCAAAAGTTTTGACTAATTAAAAGATAAATTCCGATATAATTTTTTTAGTAATCAAAAAATTCGATTACATATTGTTAGAATATTTGTAATAATAAAACAATAGTATATTATAATATTAATATATAACTAGTGATTTTGGCCGATAGAGAAAAAAATTGGCTAAAGCAAATTATCAGCTTAGCTGGTTGATTTTTTAAAATCGGTTGATCAATATGGTATAGTTGTCGTGCTCGAAGTTGTAACTTCAAGCACCTGAAGATGAAACTGCCTAAAATTACTAACTAACGCAGGTGCCTAAATTGGTAGGTGTCGACTTCAAGCATGACAAAGTCAAAAGATGCCATTACCGTTACGAAAATTTCCGATGTAGAAAATGAATAAACCTAAATACGAGACCAGGGACTGTCAAAAATTTAGATTTTGGCCAGCGTTACAAAATTATCATATAATTTAGACCATGTCACATGACCATTAATGATTCGAATTTTTGCTAATTATTTCACGTGATTTAAAGAGATTTTAAACCAATAAAAGCGGTTTTATTTATAGATACTACAGTATAACCTCGATATAACGAAGCTCTGGAGCTGGAGGTTTTGCTTCGTTATATCAAAACTTATTAGTAGTTTCGTTATATCAGGGCTAATTTAAACATAAAAATTAGAAATAATCTTCGTTATCGTTATATCGAGGTTCGTTATATCGAGGCTATACTGTATAATGTAAATTTTGGATTGATTTGGATTTGGAGTAAAACTTTGGATTGATTTGGTTCCAAAATTTTGTCGGTCCCTGGTTAAGACCAAAAATTTTCGTAAATTCCGAAAAATTCTAGATTAAAGAACAAATAATACTGTAGGTTCGACAAGCCGACCAAGCCGATAAAATTTATCGGCTTGGTCATAGCCGAAAAATTATGCTAATATATAACATATATCAATTATAGACATGTTCCTAACAGTTACAGAACATGTTCTTTATACTGGGTTTTTATTGCTGTTACTTATAAATCAACTAAGTTGACATGCTAAATTTATATATTAAAATTTAATTTATTCAAAAAAAAAAACACATAATAAATATCCATGAATTTGAATAACTTATTTTAAGTACATAGATTAATAAAGGTTCTTTATATTCACACACATTGGCTCTTAACAGTAGGGTTGTTAATGGAGTACTCCATTAATAACCTTACTTAACAGTTTATCCAACATGGTATCATCTTTAACTATTTTTTGAACCATAACATATTCAAGCCCTTTATCATCATTCTCTAACAAAGCTTTTCTGAGTGGCTTCACTTTCTCGCGATATAATTGTCCCCGATTGATTTCTGCTGCATGAAATTCCTACAGATTTTTGTAAGGATATTCTGTTTGATATCTATAAAAGTGTGTTAAAGAAATAAATCTAAAACAAGATAACTGTAAATTTATATAGTTCATTTGGTTAATATCTACCTTCGAATGATTTTTTACATTCTATAGCTATCGCCGCAGACTGCAATGCCTTGATACGTCCACCAATTAATTCATGTAACTTCTTTGCTTCCGCATCATTACATACTTTACCCCTATTGACTAGATAATTTATATTTCACCTTTAGTTAAATCTCCGATTCAATTACTGGTTCACTTGCTCGCGACCAAGCGCTACTTTCTAGGAATAATAACCCCAGCCTATTAATCACATTTAGGAATCTTATGTTACCTTAAAAATCATCAAAAGTCAAGATTTACCTCTCATCCTTTTCGGGACTGATCCCAGTGACGAATACTACAACATACTTTGAAGAATCAATGCTTTCTTTAGCATTTTCTTGAAGAAGATCGATAATTTCCGGATGTGTTTTATCGAGAAAGCTTATGTTATCAAATACAAGAACCGGAGGTTTCTTATATTTCTTTTATACACAGCAGCAGAACTTAAAGGCATCCAGAGCGCTTTTCCACTTAGGATTATCAATCGAACTATAAACAGAAAACTGTGATGAAAATTATTGACTATCAGTAATTAAAAAAAAAACAATTAAAATCTTATTACTATCCGAGCCCATAATTTTCCGCGTCAACTGCCCATAAATGAAATAAATTCCTTGAACTTAATAGCTCTAGCAAGTTTGTCATCCAAATCTTCCAAATCATTTAAATATTAACATAAATCACTCCTTGACCAACTTTTCTTGCCGCAATCTGACTGAGCGTTGTTTTCCCAGTACCATCAGACAATATGGTATTCGTTCTCATAGTAATGTGACTGGAAAATCTCTTCAAAACCTTTTAATACTTGAGATCGATTAATGATGTGCCATTTATATGGTACCCGAATTTTTTTCGCGTACAGTACGTACAGTGCGTATCTAGCGATTTCATTGGCTGGTAGAAAGGATGGCAAAAATTTTCGCGTACAGTGCGTGACACATCTCTAAGGTCGATGCACGAGTAAATGTTCTGGTACATCAAGCTCAGGTTCATTACTATTTTTAATAGTTTTATGTAGAAGATTATAAAACTTCCTCGACCATGCATAAGAAAGATCCATTGATACAAAGCTAATAGCCGATAACAAATTTTTGCTCCTAAAGTGGCCTGTTGGCGAAAGATTATGAGCTCAAATAATCACAAAAAAATAAACATCTTTCTGCAGTTTTTTTAGAAAAATTTCTCATGTGGGATTCACCGGAAGAGGTGTATGGAGGAGTTGAAGAGTTTGTATAGAGTTTGAAAGCCAAAGTTTAGGCAGGTCTAGTGTTGTTAGGCGAAACTATTTTTGGTAAATGGCGAAAGTCGAAACTAAACCCGGCGAAAGTCGAAACTGGCGA